CACGTGTCGAGAGCAGTTGTCGAGCGCACAGAGGGAATCGAACGAATTGACGATACGTTTGAGTCGTTTCGCTGATTATGATACGTTAAAGGATGAGAATTTGAAGATGAAATTTGAGGTGTGTCATTTATTTTGAGTGTTCATTTGTCGGTATTTTGATGAGTATTATTGTTACGATGTGTTGTTATAATCATTATTTTTATTAGCTATGATAGATTTATTATTCGATTATTTATTAGATTTATTATTAGATTGTCAGATTTATTAGACATTACCATTATTATTAGCTGCGATAGATTTCAGCTTGAAAGTGGTGTTATGGCTGAAAGATTGAAAGCAAAAGAAGAACAGGCGATAAATATGGGTAATCGCTTGAAACTTGTCGAAGAGGCTTCCTCTTTGAGAGTTCGCGAACTCAAACTTCAACTGAAACTTGTGGTTTGTTTTTATTGTTTTATTATTATTATTGAGATGTTATTTTTATTTCTATTATCATTATCAGTAAACATTTCAGGCTGAAAAACTAGAGAGGAAAACAGCAGAATGCCGCAAGTTACGTAGTGAGTTGTCACTAAATAAAAGTAGTTCGCAATTGGTTTCTAGAGAATCTACACAGCAGCATAGGTGTGTTAGAGGCGATTTTTTGATTTTATTATTGTTTTTTGCTTTATTATTCCTTATTAAAACTTTTCAATTGTGTGTTATTGTTATTATTAATATCATTATTGTATATTGTTATCATTAAATTTATTTTATCAGTTGTATTTTTACAGATCTCATGTGATAAAATCACCGTCGGAATCGCAGTCGCCAACCTCCGCAACATCAACGAGTTCATTTGACCGTAACTTACGCAATCGACTCAGAAATATTGACCATCTCTCACAGGTTTCTTACACATTTCCCAATAACCTTTGATAAAAGATACAAGCCGAATAATAGCTTGGCTCAGGCTCTGGCTCATAATATCAATGATATATTGGTACACCACTGGGTTTCGAGCAAAACTTTCCGTCACGTTCGCCGATATATCATTGATAGAAACTTTTGTTTCGCTTTATTCGCTCTGATTTAAAACCCTCCAAAATCAGAGTCAAATTCAAATTTCAGCAACTCGACCTCTCCCTCGACAAGTATCGTCGTGTCTCACTCACTGACCATCCCAATAACCACCGTCGTTTTTTCACATTTCAAAATTCAAATGCCAATCGCACACTGCCCAATTATCAAACACGTTCCTCTCATCAAAACCAAACAACTCACTCACTTCATCGCAGTCATCAACAACAACACCAACTACCAACTCAAACTGAATCGACAACGCCGAAAATTCGAAAGATTTTACCCAAAAACGACGAGTTCAATGCCGAACACACGTTTGTCTGCCCAGAACTTCAAGAAATTGAGAACTGCCGAGGAGCTGGACTGTCAGCAGTTGGAAATCAACGAGGGAAGGTGATGGAAAGAAGAGCGCTTCAAGCGAACGCATTAAGAGCATCATCGAATAGCGTTCTTCTGGAGTCATCCTCGAATGCTAGCGTTCAACCACTGATGACTTCAACACCGATGCAGTCGTTTGTAGAAGTTGAGGAAAATGGAGAGAATGTTGAGGTTAGCTTATTTGTCTTTATTTTTTGTTGTTTTCATCAATGCGCATCAATTTTCGTCAACGCATTTATTGCTTTTATTATTTTGTTATTTATTATTTTCAGTGCCTTTGTAAACGTTACTGGTTCCGCAGTTATCAATGCACATAAAAATTTCAGCACGGTAGTGTTTTATCACCGATCAAATTGCCTTTAACACGTAAAGTATTGTCGAATGGCGATGGTGTCAATAATAACAACAATGAGAATAGGGTGACGACAACTTCTTTCAATGATTTGCTATTGAAAAGAAATCAGCAACAACAAGAGCAGCAACGAAATGTGGCTGAAAATATCCTCAAAGTTACTTCGGGGCAAGATGACGTAAAGGTGAGGAATTGTTATCATTATTTTTGATATTGTTATTGTTATTTTTGTCAAATGTTTAATTTTTTATTATTGTGAATTATTTAGTATTATTATCAGCATTTAATATTTTGTCAGTTGATATTGTTGAAGTAAATATTTCGTTTGCGTTTTGTCAATTGTTTCTTCGATTATTTTCAGATTAAGATCTCAAATGTTTTGTTTTATTGATTCGTTTTTCGCGTAATTACAGTTGATAATTCGCGAAAACTCCCTTTATGGGCTCTTTTATTCTTCTCTTTCATTGAAGTTTCTTTGGTGAAAAAAAAACGGTGTTCGTTATTTTGTTCATTGTCATACTTTCAATGTGAACGTGCGATTTCAGTGGTTAAATGTTTCGATCCTCTAATGATTCCATAGCGCTCTTAGTAATTCAGTAGATTTTTGATGCGTTTCAGATGAAAGATGTCGCAGAAACGAATGCAAAAGCCGGAACTTCAGCTGAGAATCATTCAGATGAAATAGATCCTGTTATGCAACAATATATGAATATTGTCTTGAAGAAGAGGGAAGAGGAAAAAAAGACGAAAGAACAACGAGAGGTTGGTTATATTGTATTGCGAGAGTATTTTTCGGTTGATTTTATTGCAAGTATGGGCGAAATTTTTCAAAAAATTAAACCAACTGTCCCTTGAACCAAACTTATTCATTTGCAGTTAAACAAATTTCAAATGGGTACTGATATCGCTATGGTTGCTTTGTCATTTCCATCGTCGTGTTCTGTTTCAAAATTTTAAACTGTTAAATCTTAATGGCATTACGATCAATTTTCATATGATATCTGTTTAGATTACGTCTGATTTTGTATTATGGATGCGAAAAACTATTCAATAAATAAATGTAATTGTTCTTAATAGTGTGGTTTTTGCTTTATTATTGTTGCTGTTTCAGGATACTGACGAAAAACACGAGCAGCCGTCTAAGAAAAATTCACCGGAATCACAAGAAGCATCACAGAAATCTGCAGGTAGTTCGGTGATTGCAGCGAGACTAGATCACGATTCAGCGCATACAGAAAGCGATTTTGATTGGTGACAATGGTTTATTGAACAGTTTATTGAACAATAGTTTATGAAACGTTTACGATCATCTGCTTGTGTACTTCAAAAGTACACTAAACGTTATCTCTGTTAATGTGGAATACCTGTTTATGTGCTGTTTTCACTCTTTATTTATTTACTTATTGTCGGATAGGAATGTTCATTTGCTGATCTTTGCGTGTTCCATTACTATTAGTGTTTATTTCATTTTAAACTTAACTCAATTTCGATGTTTGTATTCGTTAATCAGTTGAGCATTAATCAATATGATGTGATAAAATATTGGTGTGCCATGACAAGATCCACCAAATTCATTGACAGTCACTGACACGGGGCAATATCACGTGAACTCGTCTTCCCATTCATTCATACGGCGCAATAATGGACGATAAAGAGATCAAATGTATAGTAAGACTTAAGCGGCACAATGGAATGACTCAATTGTAGTATATAAGTTTAGAAGTGCAGAAGTATCTCTGGATTTTGAACATTATCATTCGACAATGCATATCTTTTCCATTAGATGATATGGAGAAATGAATTATGTTCTTGCTTATCGTCAGCATACCTGATTGTGAGCATAAAGGTATAGTAGTTTGAAAATGGTGTCGCTGATATTCCCATGGCGAGGCGATTTTTCGTTTTGAAATTCCGAAGCATCGAAAATAACGAAAATATTCAAATGTGTTTGAGTTTTCAAGCCAGTATACACAAGAGTTGGAAGGTCATTGAACACTGTTTATCAGTATTCGTAAATATTGGTAAACCATCAGTGAGATTTTTGGATGATTATTGCAGAAAATGGCATATAAATGGGTGTACGGATAAGCTGCAGACTCATCAGTTCAGCTGGGACTGACCGGTAAATCCTTTCGTGTGCGATTTCTGTATGATTTGTCCAGTACGTCACGCAAGAATCGCACATGAATCATAGGTAGATTCCGTTTGTAAAAGAATCGAGTTCTATTGAAAGAAACGTCTGTTGTTAAAAGCCTTCAGAGCTTTTTCGTTTAGATTGCCACAATTTTTCGATCTCGATAATTTATATAATTTGACAATAGACGATTTTTTATAATATCATGATTTCACATGATAATAATGCAGTGTGCTTTCATTAAACTGAAAAAAGTGTCACTGAAATTGCAATTCATTATATGAAGCACACAGTTTCATGTTTCGATTCAATATCGAGAAACTTATTGTGTTTTTTGGATAATTCTACTGGTAAAGATTGCTTCAATTGTATCGGTACAAAATGAGAGAGGTCACTTGGACCAGAACCTTCAACATGACATGAATCGTTGGTAGAGAATCTGCTGGGGTCAATCTCATCCAACGAAGTATCGCCAGGACCTGTTCCATTGTCGTCGAAGCCCATTCCTTCTTCTGAGGCTTTGCCTGAGTCCTTATCATCAAAGTCTTCTGATCCAAGTCTGAAGAGACAACCATGGCTCAAACTGAAGGTCCTGCTTCAAATGAGGGCCTAGCAATGCCCCAACGGCTATTAAGAAAATTCTTTAGATCGATTCAAACCTGTAAATAAGAAGTTCAAGGGGAACGAAGAAACAAATCTTGAGGTGAGCTCAGTTGAAAAAAAAAAGAGTTGATCTCTTTGAAATTAATCAGTGATCACTGCACGAACTGTTTGTTGTTTGGCTGTGCTCTTCTTTATGGTCAATTGATCAGCAATCAATCCAGAATTATAACTGTTCAGCTTACACGAAAATTGTCAGCATCCCGATAAATTTCCTTGAGATCGAAACGCTTCCGGTAGATATACTCAATTGGTGGTGGTACTAATGTGCTTATTTATTTGTTCTGGAATCGGAATCTGCATAGAGTCATGTTTATCTTCGAGCACCATCACACAGGAACATTTCTTCAATTGATTTCATCTCAAATTCAACTACTCTTATGCTTATTTTAAGTTGAATTCAATTATTTCACTTACTAATCGTGAATGTATGTAGAGTTCAGGCCGGCTGTTTTCGTCTCAACAAAATCGTTAAAAGATAACGAAAAGGAGCGATTGCTGAAGGTTACAACAATCAAATAAGATGAAAGCTGAGTGTTACAAGCATGTTCAGTGTGTATGATTGTTTATAAACGCATTATGTGTCAATTAAAATTCTTATTTTATTTGATTCTGGTAAAATATGAACGCAAAATAATCAAACAACAGTAATACTATGTACACATATACCATCATAATAACAATGTTAATCACATCCAATAGCAATATATAACTTGTTAAAGAATACTTTTAATAGCGTGTTTTTAAACGTTATCCACTTGTACATTGTTACGATAAATAGAAAATTAATATCATTTACAATAGAAAATGAGTGGACACTTTACACAGCTTTACATAAGATCAATTGTGATAAATAATTTTGTTCGGGCATTATAAAGAACAATGAGTTTGAGATATTTCAATTAGAGGAATGACTTGAACGATTGAACGAAGTTGAGGAGATGAAGAATGCGCATTTCGGAAAGCCTTATGGCGATTAGAAATATCTGATGATGTGGCCTTTAAAAAGCTCTTTCATTGGCGAAAAAGAGTAAGGAGTAAGAGATATAGCACAGAAGTTTAATTGTA